CTTTCAGGGTTACAAAGTCCAGCAAGACAACTGTCCAAATGCCATCTCCAGACAGCATTCAGCCTCAGCTCGGGGCTCTATGCCACTATACCAGCAGCTTGCAGGGGAACCCAGGCTCGCCTGCTACACTAGGTTCCAGCCTATAAACAGCAATCCAGTCCTCAGCCTTCATCCCTGTTGCTGCTTCCTTGGGCTCCTTCCTACCAACTCTCTCTATCTTCTCTTGCCTGGTTCTGGGTTTACCACAGGAGCCTACTCTAGTCCCTGTGGCTACTTCACTACCTTCTAGCTTCTTGTAGCTTCTTACCAGACTCCTTACTCCAGGTTAGGATATGAAGGCTTACTCTCCCTCTGTACTTCCTCCTTGTTCTTGATGGCCTACCTCATCCCAGGGAATGACTGAAGCCTCCTTCCCTTGAAGCCCCCTTCTACTTTCAGCTTCTTGGCTTTATTGTTCTGGTCCAGCCCTTCCCCAGCTTGGCCTCACTCTTAATTAACCTGGTCTTCCTTCTCTCAGGTGACCTAATCGGCCTCTCAGCCTCTTGTTAACCCTATCAGGACTGATGTGGGGAGCACACCACATTACATTCCTATATAGGAATTTTCTAGATTTTTGTAAAAAGCAATTCTGCACATTAGATCTCCTCTAAGCACAATATATATATATATATTCATATATATATATATAATGAAATGGGAGTTTCTAGATCAAGATGTTCTTGAGGTACGAGGATCTAAAGCACATTTAAAGAATGAAAAGTTGTTAGTTTTTCCCTTAAAAGTTTTATTAAAAATGGCTTGTGCAACTCAACTCAAATCTTCCCATCCTGTCTTCTTTCCTACGGTACACATAATGAAATTTGGCAGAAAGGAGGTTTGTTTAGAAAGTTTCCAAGACTGGTCTTACAACAGAATTTTTTTCACAACATTAACCAATGGAGTCACTACCAAGGGTCAATAATTATGGGGCAGTTGATATTCTGATAAGTGTGCAAAGACTTTAGTGATACCGGGAGGGTTGACCCTAAACAAACAAAACTGAACTCTCAAATAATAGCAGCTTGGGAACTGTAGAAACAATAAAGTAGTATTCTTACCAAAGAGATAAAGGAGAGGGGAGGCAAAGATAGTAGGATTCATCTGTATAAAGCTGTCTTTGATGATGAGCAAACATCAAGCTTGTAGTGGCATGTAAAGATATGGACCAAATTCTAGGTCACTGCTTTAGGGAGATCAAAAACTGAGGCTTATTCTATAATGGTGCACAATATCACCTCAAGCCCTATTAGACTGAGATTCAATTCCTGCCAGTTTACATTTTGCTCCTGTAAGCTTCTTTGATGCATATGACAATCCACCAGGAAATGACTGCCTTGGAACGTAGAAATCCCGTCTTTGAAGCGCAAAGTGAAATAAATCAGCTGTCAAACATCTTGAACTTTCTGGTTCTTCCTAAATAGTTTTAAATGCCTGTTTAACATCCAAATAAAATACCCTTTTCTCAACACATTTAGGATCCAGACTAAGACCAGTCAGGACCTTCTTTTAATCACTTGAGGCTAAAGTAATTCAAAGTTGTTGGTTTAGGGTTTTTTTCAGTTAAATATTGACTGACTTTGAGGTTACACAACTTTGAAAGGTACTGTAAATTTTAAATACACACTGTACATATCATACACACCCACAAGCTAGACTTATCAACCATAAAAACATTGCCAAATACAGTGTGAAGGAGAGAGGACAGTGAGACAGACAAAAAAACAAAAAGATATTACAAAATAGGCCACAATTATTAATGAGGATAACCACAGATCATCACAAGAGAGTGTAAAATACAGAAAAGAGAAAAATGTTTGGTGGCCCCGATAACCAAAATTATTTTCTGCTTTGTGAATATATCAAAATGTATAAAGGCATATAAAATTCAGATGTGAATAGCCACAATACCTCTTGGGATGAATCTGCCTATGTCTCATACTCATATGAGTCATAAGTCATATGTCATAAGTATGGCTCTATTTCAACCTTATATTACCCTGCAATTTCTGTAAGTTTATTCTATTGGCATACTGTAAATCTGTAAGGGATGGTCGTTTATCCACTATGTAAAAATAAATTAACTACTTACTGAAAGTGTTAATCTCAAAAACATTTTTTTTATGTAGATAATTTTCAAGCTTAAGTCTACCAGTAAATTTTGCAGATCACACTGTTTAAGAAAGATTTCAAAATGCCACATCTATCTCACTGACAAATAGCGACCCATTAAATAGAGGCACTAGACTGAAGTGGTTTGAATTGCCTTCCTAACTTTCAGCCCCATCAGGACTCAAAATATTAATATTTGGCTATCCATCTGCCACCAGAGGGTGTAGACAGACTCTAAATGTTCAGTTCAGACACAACTCTGAACCAATGGAGGAGCTAATAAAGGTATCGGAGTTGGGGGGGGGGTGTTGACAGCTCCCATGGCAACTTTTAGGTGAATATGTGACACCTTTTCTCATGGGGCTTGGTAGCGGTGGCTCCCTGCTGCGGTTGTTGCAACATGGCATACGGGTTCATGTGGTGCTGTGACCCTGTACGCTATGTCACAATGACTCTCACTTACATTTGACTCGACTGCCCATCAGTCATGATGGTCAGCAGCCAGGCGAAACCTGAATGGCCGTGCAATCCCATGTGCCAATTCACAATGCTCGGAGTGGGGAGATAGTCCCATTCCCACAGGACAGGAGCCACTGCTACTAGGTGAGTGTGGGGCAGCTCACTCTCCAGCCTCCCACCCTCTTCAGGGTCTCCCTTCCACACCAGACTGAGATTAGATGGTGTGGGAGAGGATGATGCTGCGTGAGTGGTCAGTGCCCTGATTGCAAAACCTGGGTCTGCCATTTCTCTGAACACCGCCTCTAAGATGAGGTACCTCAACATTTCACACATTCACTCTGGGTCCTTTCCCAAGCCTACTAGATCACTATGAAGAGCTGAACCAATCTGAGATTCTGAAGATAAGGGTTATATAAGGACATGGAAAGATGGTACACTGGGCCTTGATTATGTACAATTAATGTTAACTGTTTTTTTTCCATTGACTTGAATTGGAGCAGAATAAAGCTTTTGCTGATGAAATTCTCAGAGCTTACTGAAATAGACTGGCAGTTTGGTGTGATCTGTACAGGGAAGTCAGTCCACTTGCAGTTATGACCATTCTGGCACATAAGTAGAATACTTTCTTACCAAGCTACAGAGGAAAATACAGCTTGCCAGACCACATGTAAATCTAAGTCCAGTGTTCTACCGCTCACAGTTACCAGTAACAGATGCTTCAGAGGAATATGAAAGAAAACTTCAAGGACAATTATAATTAACTTCCCATAGGGGAAGTTTCTTTCTAAGCCCTAGTGGATGTCTTATGTCTGAATCAGGATTTTGTTTTAAATATACTTTAGAGAGAATGTTATATTATAACTGTCTGTATAAATGTCTAATCCATTTTTGAAGCCTCTATCCTCAACAAATATCTTGCAGCAATGAGCTCCACTGATTAATTATGTGCTATGCAACAAAAAAGTATTTCCTTATTATTTCATGTCATCTGCAAGTTTTCTATCTAATTTTTCACTCCTTCACCAAATCATTAATACATATTAGTACAGAACATTGGCGAACTACTCCTGATCTTTTCCCATGCTATAAATTGACATTGTCCCCCTTCTTTGTTTTCTGTCTCTTAGCCAGTTTCTAGTCTATGACAGCTCTTTCTCAGCACTCTGAGTACTTAATAGTCTATTATGAGGGACTTTGTCAAAGGCATTCTGAAAGTCCAAGTAGATGCCAGCTGGTTCTTCACTATATATAGCTTTACTGACACACAAACCTGCGCCCATCTGAGCGAATTATTATTTACGTTATTGTGCGGCTACCTGAATCACCATTATTTCAACTGGGTTCTTTTTTGACAACTCCATTAGCACATGAGCTTTCATTCCTAAGCAGGGCTACCACTTTGATGCGGCACATTTTAGTGCTTGTGTAATGCTATTTATTTTCGTTTGAGCAAGGAACTGCACCTTGAAAAGAGAAAACTAAGCCATGGTTTCTGATCTTGGGAGGAGACTCCCTATTCTCCATGTCTAGAAAATTATTGATCTCTTACCATTATTTAAAGTGTGTCCATCCTAAACCCTATTAGGAAGGAGCTTATAAAACTGTATGAATCACCCCTCTTGGGCTGAAATTTTTCAAGCCTGATGTCTGCCTGAAGCAATTTATTTATTTTGTTTTAGTTTGAGAAAAATCAGTGTTTATTTTTTCGTCTTTGCATGTAAGGGAAAAAAAACCTCACTGCACATTTTTCCCATTTAAAAAAAAAAAAGATTTTGCCCTTTATTTGAAAAGGTCTAGGGACAAAATGATCGCAGCAAGAAAACTGAAAATGGACAGGAAGCTTGTTCCTAGGGAATAGGGATGCCTTTCAATGGCCCAGTTAAAACTGGTTTTCATTTAGAAGAATCAGCAGGGTTTGAAACAAATCATTCTTGACTCAGTGGCATTCTAAAGGGGCTGGGCTACATTTTGCATACGCACACAGCACATTTTGATGTATAAAGATAAATGAAGTGTTACAACAGCTTTCCAGGGTTTTTCTCCTACATACACAACTAAGCCCTGGTCTGCATATAAAATTTAGATCGATGTAGCTATGTCACTCAGGGGTGTGAAAAATTCAAACCCCCAAGCAGCACTGTAGTTAAGCTGACCTAACCCCTGCTGCAGATATGGCTAGATCAGTGTCAGCCTAGTTACTGCTGCTCAGAGAGATGAATTAGCTACAGTAATGGAAAAACCCCTGTACCACTGTAGAATCTGTAGCATAGACATACCCTAATTGCATGAACTCTGAAAGAGTGTGTTGTTTACACCTTTATTGTTATAATCAAATCTTTGACATTTTGTAAACATGGGAATATTATTGGGCTGGAAGTACAGAACACACTTACCAATGTTAATTTCATCATCTGTTTCAGCATCTCCAATACACTCAAACTGAAAATCCTGTAGCGACTGGGAAAATTTTTGCACTGCCATGGATAGATCTATGATAAAGAAAAAGGAAACAAGTCTTACAATTATTCCAATAACTATACCACAGTATATGCAAGTTTTTCTAGAAAAATAATCTCACATAAAATAAGAGAATACCATTCAAATCAAATTGCTTGCTATGCCTCAAAAAAGTCACTGAAGCAAACTAAATTCCTAATTCTCAGCCATAACAAAGAGAATCGTATTCATACTGACAAATAATCCTCAGTTCTCATTTTCCTGAAGCAAGAGAAATTGATTCATGATCTGAAGCTTCAGTGGTAATAATTAGTCCTAGTGCAGGGGTGGCCAACCTGTGGCTCTGGAGCCGCATGCGGCTCTTCAGAGGTTAATATGCGGCTCCTTGCATAGGCGCTGGCTCCGAGGCTGGAGCTACAGATGCTAACTTTCCAATGTGCTGTGGGGTGCTCACTGCTCAACCCCCTGCTCTGCCCTGGTCCTGCCACCATTCCACCCCTTCCCCCAAGGTCCCCGCCTCTTCCCCCGAGCCTGCCATGCCCTCACTCCTCCCCCCTCCCCACCAGAGCCTCCTGCGCACTGCAAAACAGTTGATTGCGGTGGGCGGAGGCATGGGGAGGGAGGGGGAGGTGCTGATTGGCGGGGCTGCCGGTGGGTGGGGGGCACTGGGAGCGGGGGTAGGTGGGGAGCAGATGGGAGGCTGCAGACATATTACTGTGGCTCTTTGGCAATGTTCATCGCTAAATTCTGGCTCCTTCTCAGGCTCAGGTTGGCTACCCCTGTCCTAGTGTATGCAGTAGGGCTACTTGCAAACAACGACTTCTTATATACACAAGGGTTGCAGGATTGGGCCCATAGGTTACCATGAGTTTTATTTTAATATACGTCTCCCACAGATAAAGTTTTCCATAGGGGCTTACCAGCTATTTTAAAAATAACTAAATAGAAACACAATACTATATAATGTTCTGAAGAGACTTTTTTTAAAAAAGATAGCTTTGTGGGTTTTCACTGGTTTTTAGCTAGCTCTTTTGGGGCAACACTGAAGGAAGTGCATACTTTAAGAGATACTTGAATGAAGAGAGGGTTTGGGGCATGGCAATCTGGAACTGGGGTAAATGTATCAAAACAATAGTGGGAGGGGAGGACACAAAAGAGGAATAAAAAAGGGAAGGGAGGACATAAGCATTAGTGCTGGTATTTTCCTTTGAATTTCGCTTATGTATTAGTTAATTTTAATGTGCCTCAATGATAAAGAGGATTTCAATATATTCACTGAAATCAAGGCTTAAATTCCAGACAGCTACAAGCCAGGGATCAATAATAAAAAAAAGAGTGAGGATGCCAATCGATAGAAATACTCCCTTTGTGCGAGTTGCTGGAATTCCTACTAAGGTGCTGCCCCAATCCTTGGTCAGTGCCTGGTTCTTTCAGATCGGCCTCTGGCTGGTAGGCATTAAATTCTTTAGATGCCACCACCACACTCAATCTCTCATTATTTATTCATTTTTGCTTACAGCTATGGTGTGCATCAGCCTTAAAGAAAATAAAGGGCCTTTTTTAGAAAAGGCAGACATGAATACATTTTCTTCTATTGGTAAGGAATGAAATATGATTATCTAATGCACAGTTGTAGATATATAAATTGCCTACACAAGTTATCTTTGTAAATAAGAAAAGTTTTGGGACTGTTCAATCCTTCATTTGGATAAGCTATTTTTCCTATTACCAGATGGTTGACTCTCCTGGAAGACTTAATTTGATATAAGATTTTAAAAGAAAACACAAAAACTCGGAAGATAATGACTTTACAAAAGTTATATGCTATTGAAATATATTAAATATTATTTCCCCTTGTCTTACAGTTTATTTTAAATACAGAAAATACAATTGCTATGAAGTAAGACACAAGCCAATAAATCCGGATTATTCAGCCATTATTTAAAAAACATAATTTGGCAAAGCATTTTCATTAAGCACTTTTACCATTCTGTATCTACAGTGTAACTATATATGTTTGTTTTCGATTAACAGCTATTCATTACTTACATGCAGTTTAAAATACCACCACTTGCACTTTCCTTCGGTGAACAAAAGAAAATTTCCCCAGACATGAAGTCTCATCATTTTATCGTTATAAATTCTATTTTCTCTTCTATAACTGACTCTCTTTCCTTCATATCACTCTGGCACTTGTTGCTCCAAAAAAAGCATATCAGAAGTAAAATTACAGTTATTAAAAAGAGCAGCTCACCTGGTAGTCCCCCGACATGTTGAGCTACTGTACTGTCTCCATAATACACTGAATAATATGTTTTCTATTAAGAACAGAGTTAAGTATACACTTGTGAATGTATTGCAAGCTTACTGAATGTTTCTTGTTCCTAGGTGTATGAAAATCATCTAACAATAGCAATGTATTATTTTAACAACTTAGAAGTAGTTCTGCTTTGTACATCTGACAGTATCTTGTGAAGTTTATGCAGTAAAAAAACGGTTTTTGTTTCTTCTAAAAAATCTGAATCTATTACATTAACTTCTGACACTTAATCTTAGGTGTCAATTGTTCTGTAGCTATGAGAAGGATCTATTCAGGTAGTTTATGTAAAAGCAAAGGACAAAGACAGAGTTCTTGGGTTCTACTACAGGCTCTTCCACCAAATTACCATAGAGTAAATCATTAAAGCCCTCGTGCAAACTAGCACTGAGGCATGATGTGAGGCTTAAATAATACTTGTAAAGGACTAAGATTCCAGAATATGAAGTGCTACAGAAGTGCAAAGTATTAACCATTACCATAAATAGTCTATGTCTGTAAATTCCCATGGACAGAGAGAACACATTGTACTGAATGTCTGACTTGGATATTAGTAACTCAATGCATAATTTTAGGACCAGACTGTGACCAGCTGTTGATGTAGATGTGCAAGGGAGGAAGAGGGTGCATGGAACCTCCCTCACCCAGTACTCCTCCCAAGAAAGCCTATTCTGCCTCCTAGAGCAGTGGCTCTCAACCTTTCCAGACTACTGTACCCCTTTCAAGATTCTGATTTGTCTTGCGTACCCCCAAGTTTCACCTCACTTAAAAACTACTTAAAAATCTGACATAAAAATATAAAAGTATCACAGCACATTATCACTAAAAATTGCTTCCTTTCTCATTTTTACCATATGATTATAAAATAAATCAATTGGGATGTAAATACTGTACTTACATTTCAGTGTATAGTATATAGAGCAGTGTAATGGATGATTTAGTTGGTGTTGGTCCTGCTTTGAGCAAGGGGTTGGACTAGATGACCTCCTGAGGTCTCTTCCAACCCTAATATTCTATGATTCTATAAACAAGTCATTGTCTATGAAATTTTAGTTTGTACTGACTTCGCTAGTGCTTTTTATGCAACTTGTTGTAAAACTAGGCAAATATCTAGATGAGTTGATGTACCCTCTGGAAGACCTCTGCGTACCCACAGGGGTAAGTGTACTGGTTGAGAACTACTTTCCTAGAGGACAGAAATAACTCCCATTGAAATTACTCCTTTCCCTCAGGATAGAGAGCCTAGGGCTTCAAGTACAAGACAAGCAGTACTGACCACTTTAAATCCTGATTTAGACTCACTAATTCTTGTTTGGCCAACTGCCTCAGAAGATCAGAATTCAAAATCAAAGAAGATGGGAAAGTGATGGGAAGGAAAGAGAGAATACTTCCCCCCCAAAAAAAGAGAGAGAGAGAAAGAGAGAAAGAGAAAGGAGTCATTGCTTTGCTCAGACTTCTAAAAAGGGGCGTAAGTCCTTTCATCATCCCATTTCTTAATGAAAGAGGCTAAAGAAGTTGGGCTTTCCCAGATCCAGAGAATAAGCCTCAGGGGAAAGCTAGATATACTTAACTTCTGTTATTATTTAAGATGTTTTCTCTGAAGTGCTTTTTTATATCTAAATAATATTTTGCTTGAAGGTTATTTGGTCTCTTCTTATCACTGCCATTGCTCCTAGAAGGAACAGAACCGCAGGGTCTGAGCCTAAAGCAGACTGCTAAGGCAATCACAGTGAGTACCCGGGGACGGCCACCCGGTCTGAGAGTGGGAAAAATCAGGTGATTCCATCCCAAGAGTGGTGACAGCCCGAGGCTTGAGACCAAGAGGGTCAGAGGTACAGTTAGCCCAGTAAGTGTGACAACCGCTAATGTTTAAAAATAACAGAACAGTCTAATCAATATATTAATTGATTGGGATTCTGAGAGGGAGAAGATAAAGAAACTGGAGAAGATGATAGGTACTAAGAGAAACAATTCCCTGCCTGAGTTTTGGCTTTAGACAATGATTTTACTGAAGGAAGAGGTTTCATTGTGAGTACACATTGCGATTGCTAGATTGTAAGGCACAGAATAATAAATTGATTAATACAGCCACGTCTCAATCTATTTCAAAATCAAGGACAACTTAGAACAGGAAAATGTATCCATTCTTGCCTGAAAACGTCCTTTCTTTGAACAATAAGGTCCACAGATTCACTACAATGGTACTCCAACTTGCTTTTGCAGCTCAGGGACAGAAACAGACCTACCATTCACTGGCAGGAGGGAAATGTCCTACCTCCTGGAAGTTCCTTCCAGCTGAGATAACTTCCAGTGCCAGGGAAACTTAAATCCACTTTCTTAAATTACAGACTGTATTAAATATACTTTGAGGAAAAAGGGACAATTTCTTCTAGGGCAGGGCAGGGCACATTCCACCTAATGACAACAAACCCTAATCTATGGGTGTCAATTTCCATCTCTATTCTGGATGATCCATTTGTATCCAGGATCTCTGGGCCTTGTTACTCAAACAAAAGGAATTTTTCAGATAGTTTGAAAAATAGGAAAACGTATGATCCATTACAATGGGATTTGCATAGCACTGTGCCTCCAGGGCATGAAGCATGATCATCGTTTAAATGTGAACATCCAAAATGAGGTAAATTGTATATAAGTATTCCCCTCATTTTTTCCCTTGACATTAGGGCATGGAGAAAACTTCTGCCAAAAGAAAAA